GCTTTATGTAGATTTACATCAATGCTAGTTTTCTTAAATGAACTCTGGAAGTTATGGTCCCAAATCATCGTCATTCTTATCTCTCTTAAATTTTCTCTCTCCTTTGTCCTTGACTGTTTTGCTTTAGAAAGAAGAGCCTTGACCAGTCTGAATCTTGGACACTGTCCTTGGGGATTTGCATGAGTGTGGGCCTTTGTCTGATTTGATTGTCTTGAAGAAAATAATTTTCTCTTTATTAAAATTCCATATTGCTGGTCCTGTAAATTTCATCTTTTAGATATTTTTTATTATTTGCAGGTAGTTTTCTCTTTCTGTTTCTTTTTATTTAATTACTAATTTTCCTTATTATGTATCTGTTAATATTTTTTTTGTTATTTGTAAATTTGCTTTGTTGTGCATAGAAATTTTGGTGTTGATCTTTTGCTCTAGTATGTCTGCTTATTTTGGTCAGCAAATGATGTAGTCAGCAAAGGCTATACAGTGATTAGAAATTTAGAGCAAACTTTTGAATGTCTTTACTATTAAAAGGAAAGCAGCACATTCTTCCTTGTGATGATGATGATGATTTTTGGCTGCACTGCATAGCATGTGGGATCTTAGTTTCTCAGCCAGCAGTCAAAGCTGTGGCCCGTGCATAGGCAGAGTGAAGGCTTCACCACGGGACTGCCGAGGGAGCTCCCCCTCGTCTTTTCTCACCCATGTATGGTGCGCACCATAGTTTAGTCATCCCTCCTGGCAGGCTTATCCTGCCTTTCCTCCTGTAGGACAGAGGCGCAGCTAGAAAGAACCCTGAATCTTTTGATGTCCAGGGAGGTTCCATGGTCCAGTGTCGTGTCCCCAGCATTTAAAAATGTCCTAAACACTTTGGTATAAGAATAATTTTTTGAGTCAATCAATACATATGAATCAGTGTAAATTATTTTTATATAAGAGCCAGTTCAGAGGAAATAATATTTCTTGATAACTTGCCTTTTATCATACCTTCAGACATCCAAAGTAAATCCTGAGGAAAGCATATTGCAACCCAGGTTATATTTTTCATTAACTAGAAGGATGTTAGTGAGGAAGGTGGCACTATTTGTGGCAATAAAATGCTATTATTATTGTTGTTGTTGTGGTTACTATTGCAGCAATAGTAACAAGGGGCTTTGTTACTTCTTATCTCTCCTCTTTTGTATGTTATATATCATGCAAGAATCTCCTAAGTCCGTTTGTACATACCTTCATTTCATTCCTAAACAGCCAAGCTAATAATTTGTCCAGGGTGAAAATGTCAAAGCCTACTGACTTTCCTACGTTTTGCTGGTTACTTGTCGAGATATTTTATTGGGGATATTTTTTAACATAGAAGTTTACTTTAGAAATAGGTTATCAGATTTAACAGATAAAAATACAGGATACCCACTCAAATCTAAATTTCAGACATTAAATGTCTCATACAATACTTGGGACATATTTATACAAAAAATAATTTGCCGTTTATCTGAATTTCAGACTTAACTGTGTTTTCTGTATTTTATCTGACAACCATTTTTACAGAAGACTCCCTTTTCTCTCATCATCATTTTCCCAGAATCCCCGCTGAATGTTTCCCTTTGGTGTAATTATAATGTTAAAAACCTTGTGTTGTTGTAGTTCAGTTGCAGTCGTGCCCGACTCTTTGCGACCCCATGCACTGCAGCATGCCAGGCTTCTCTGTCCTTCACTATCTCCCTGAATTTGCTCAGACTCATGTCCATTGAGTCAGTGATGCCATCCAGCCATCTCATCCTCTGTCACCTCCTTCTCCTTTTGCCCTCAATTTTTCCCAGCATCGGGGTCTTTTCCAATGAATCAGCTGTTCGCATCAGGTGGCCAAAGTATTGGAGTTTCAGCTTCAGTTTTTCCAATGAATATTCAGGATTGACTTCCTTCAGAATTGACTGATTTGATCTCCTTGCTGTTTAAGGAACTCTGAAGAGTCTTCCCCAGCACAGCAGTTCAAAAGCATCGATTCTTTAGTGATCAGCCTTCTTTATGGTCCATTTCTCACACCTGCATATGACTGCTAGAAAAACCACAGCTTTGACTAGACAGACCTTTGTCAGCAAAGTGATATCTCTGCTTTTAATATACTGTCTAGGTTTGTCATAGCTATTCTTCCAAGGAGTAAGCATCTTTTAATTTAGTGGCTGCAGTCACTGTCTGCATTGATTTTGCAGCCCAAGAAAATGAAATCTGACACTGTTTCCACATTTTACCCCTCTGTTTGCCATGAAGTGAATAGGACTGGATGCCATGTGTATATACATAAGACCTTATGTATAGCATATTTATTATACACCATGCTTTCTTCAGAGGAGTAGCACTTAAGAGTTCGCAGTGTCTGGTTTTTTTGCCTTGTTCCTTTTAAATTTAGATTTTCCTTAGAGAAACATCTCACTTATAAGACCTTACCTTTTTCAGTATTTAGCTTACTTAAACAAGGACTGTGGAGAAGAGAGTAGTTTAGTCTTAAAGATGATAAAACCAGCTTTCATCAAACATCAACATTCATGTAAGGAATGAAAACAAGTTCCACACTGAGTCTGAGTAAAAAGAAAAATTGCCACTTTCATAATCACTGTGTACCCAGTATCTGATTATAGACAGATGTAGTTTAACAGATAAATAGCTAGACAGATCTTTTTATCGTATATGTCCCAGAATATTTCATAAAGCCATTGCCAAAATAAAGTTGATAGAGTGTATCCCTCAGACCTACTTGGGGAGCATGTGTATGTGAATATGTGTATGCATGTGTGTGTGGGTGTTTCATTATTAATTATCTCCCTTAGGGATCTGCTAATCATTGATTTCTTCAATTTTGAAAAAATTAATTTGGTTTTAACTCCCTTCTCTACTGCCTTTTTCTGTATCCACTTAATCTGATTTCTTTGATGGAATATTTTTAAAAATCAGACTTACAAAGTTTGAGGGGAGTAATGCCTGTGCTTTCATCTAGGAAGTAAGAAAGACGTGGCAGGCGGCATACTTGTGGAGAGAGTAGGCTGGTCCCCGTTGTGTTTGAAGGCTCTGGACTTACAGAACCTTTGCTAATGGTGGGAGCAGCTGCTGTCTGTGCCTTGCTGAACTTCTTCACTTGCACAGAAACTCAGTCTTTGTGTTCATGTGGTTTCCTCTCACCACTGAGCTTAGTCTTTTATACCTGTCTGAGACTCTACAGTGTTTATCCCCTCACTTAGAGGAAAATTCTTCCTTATGATCCTCAGTCTGTGGGTCAAATTTGGTTTTTCTTTCCTTCAGAAAAGGTGAAGGGTAGTGGAATAGCCTTTTACATATTCCAGAAGAGTATTTAAATTTGTATACTAGCATACTCTAATTTGATTTTTTTTTCAAGTTTTGAAGAGTGCAATGCTGTGGAACACTCTAACTTTGCCTGAAGGAATGTACAAGACTCTCATTTGTCCTAATTTATATTCATGCCAGTCCTTTTTTAGGGTATCTTGATCACATTCCTACAGTGGTATAGCATTCTACATTAGAAGATCCCTTGTCTCCTTTTGAGGTTGGATTAGGGGGGAAAGAGAGAGAGTGTGCGTTATCAAGTGAGATCTGGAAACTCTGTAACTATTGGCTGGGATCATACACTTAAACACACTGGTAAAGCTAGTAAAGTAAATACGCTAGTAAAGTAATGCTCAAAATTCCCCAAGCCAGGCTTCTGAAATACGTGAACCGTGAACTTACAGATGTTCAAGCTGGTTTTTGAAAAGGCAGAGGAACCAGAGATCAAATTGCCAATATCCGCTGGATCATCGAAAAAGCAAGAGAGTTCCAGAAAAACATCTATTTATGCTTTATTGCCAAGCCTTTGACTGTGTGGATCACAATAAACTGTGGAAAATTCTGAAAGAGATGGGAATACCAGACCACCTGACCTGCCTCTTGAGAAATCTGTATGCAGGTCAGGAAGAGACAGTTAGAACTGGACATGGAACAACAGACTGGTTCCAAATAGGAAAAGGAGTATGTCAAGGCTGTATATTGTCACCCTGCTTATTTAACTTATATGCAGAGTACATCATGAGAAATGCTGGGCTGGAGGAAGCACAAGCTGGAATCAAGATTGCCGGGAGAAATATCAATAACCTCAGATATGCAGATGACACCACCCTTATGGCAGAAAGTGAAGAACTAAAGAGCCTCTTGATGAAAGAGGAGAGTGAAAAAGTTGGCTTAAAACTCAACATTCAGAAAACTAAGGTCATGGCATCTGGTCCCATCACTTCACAGGAAATAGATGGGGAAACAGGGGAAATAGTGTCAGACTTTATTTTTGGGGGCTCCAAAATCACTGCAGATGGTGATTGCAGCCATGAAATTAAAAGACACTCCTTGGAAGGAAAGTTATAACCAACCTAGATAGCATATTAAAAAGCAGAGACATTACTTTGCCAACAAAGGTCCGTCTAGTCAAGGCTGTGGTTTTTCCAGTAGTCATGTATGGATGTGAGAGTTGGACTGTGAAGAAAGCTGAGCGCCGAAAAATTGATGCTTTTGAACTATGGTGTTGGAGAAGACTCCTGAGAGTCCCTTGGACTGCAAGGAGATCCAACCAGTCCATCCTGAAGGAGATCAGTCCTGGGTGTTCATTGGAAGGACTGATGCTGAAGCTGAAACTCCAGTACTTTGGCCACCTCATGTGAAGAGTTGACTCATTGGAAAAGACCCTGATGCTGGGAGGGATTGGGGGCAGGAGGAGAAGGGGACGGCAGAGGATGAGATGGCTGGATGACATCACCGACTCGATGGACATGGGTTTGAGTAAACTCCGGGAGTTGATGATGGACAGGGAGGCCTGGCGCACTGCCATTCATGGGGTTGCAAAGAGTCGGACACGACTGAGCGACTGAACTGAACTGATACACTTAAATGTAAAGCGTTTGAGAGTTGGTTTTATTTTTGGTAATTGCTCTTTTTTATCCCATTTAACAGTTATATTCTCTTTTCCTCTGCAGCACAAATGTGCAGGTATGTGATAGCCCTTTCCATTGCTCTCAAGAGGAAGCAAGATCATTAGTTGAATCGGTAAGCAACAGATGTCCAAAGCATCCTTTATTCTAATAAATGTCATGGGGAAGTCTAACGGAAATTCTGAAAAATCTATCAGTGAAATGTATCATGTCTTTTGGGGAGCATAACATTAAAAAATAACATTAAAGTTATTTTTTATCCAAGGAATTTAGATTTAAAACTTTTTACTGTTCTGTTTTCTGAAGTACATTAACCATTTAACTGATTTCATAGGATACTATTTTTCACCAGTTTATTATTGTTTAAATCCATTAGCACTCCTCTACACTAACCTGTCCTCACAAGTTATCCACCACTCAGGGTCTAAATTGTGACTGGCTGCTGGCACAGGTGCATTTTATCTCAAGAAAAAATAAATAAGTTTCTTTTCCTTTTTTTTTTTCCATTTAGTTTGGTTACCTCACAAACTTTCCTTCTCTAAAGAGGATATCTTCAGATTTTTGCAGGTCTTAGTGAGTAATGCTGCCTTGAGGCAACTGAATTTAGTAAAGTAATACTTGACCTGGAGACCACTAAATAAGAAAATTCAAATTCAGATAATCAAGTAATATTGATGTGTAAAGCGTGTTCAGGAGTGATCTTAGGCTAGAAATCCCATTTATAAATTAAAGGTTTCTGGGGTTTTTTTCTTTAATTATCAGAAAACTAGTGAGTTTAGCTCTTTACTTCAGGACCAACAAAAATGTTTACTCAAATGGCTGCTTTGAATTGTTTTTCACTAATTAATAAGCTGTTTAATTACTGCCTGCTATGTGTGGTTAGATTCTAGGTACTGGAGATGCAGTATTACAGAGAAGATACAAAAACCCGTCCTTGGGTAGCTGACATTCTAGTTGCAGTGACGGATAATAAATACTCAAGTGAAATATAAAGTGTTTCTGAATGCGATAAATGCAGTGATGAAAAATGAGCCAGAGAAGAGGGGATACAGTGCCTGGAGTCAGGGGGGTGGGCACTGTAGTGACTAGGAAGCAGTGGGGGACAGCCGCGTGAACCGAGAACTAACCTGAATCTAGATTTGTAGACGGTAAGGGACTATGCCATGTGACTGTCCTAAGAGAGAGCATTCACACCGCGGACCGAAGGACATGAGGCAAGTGGGTACTTGATGTGTTCATGAAATACCCAAGAAGCCACAGTGACTGGTGGAGTAGGGGAGTCTAGGGGAGAAAGGAGGAGCTGAGATAAAAAATGATTGGATCTGGGCTGAAAATGGAGGCAAATTATTATGAAAGACCTTGTGAAAAACACCCTGTAAAGACTATTTTAAGAATTTCATTTCTTATTCTGAATAAGATGGAACCATTGAAAGGTTTTGAGCAAAGGTATGATGTGATGATATGATCTGACTTAGATTTTAACAAGATCACTCCGGCTGTGTTGGCAAGAATGGGCTCCAGGGAGGCAAGGAAGGTGCAGGGGAGCCCTGATAATCACGCTCACTACGATGTCAGTTTATTTTCTCCACGTTTTTAGTTTTGTATCTTGTGTCGCTTACATTCTGAACTTAGTTCTCATTTATTTTTCTTTAAGAAAAAAATAGAGGAAAACAAGTTAATATCTTTTTTTCTTTATTCGTGTAGTCTCCCATTAATCTCAGATTAAGACCATTCCACTTTATGGGACTTCACTGGTGGTCCAGTGGCTAAGACTCCACACTCCCAATGCAGGAGACCAGAGTTCGATCCCTGGTTAGGGAACAAGATCCCACATGCAGCCAAAAAAAAAAACTTCCTTTTTAGTTTCGAATTTATAAATGATAGGTATAACAGACTTTTGTTTTAAAGTTAGCTGCAAGATCAAAGCTTCTATCTTACATCTTTAAAAAAAATATTTCCTAACATATTAGTAGGAAAAGTCCTCTTAAAAAATAATTGGAGGACATGGATATGATTTAGGTACTTAGATTTGGGGGACAAGATTAGAATTCAGAAACATTAACACCCAGATTTAATTATATGGTTTGGTAGCTTTGCTCTGTTTCATAATGATGAAGAAGGTGCTATGCTGATTTTTCACTGAGAAAGCTGTAGTAGAAAATAAAAACGCAGAGAAAGTAGTCCTTCATCAGCTCTAGTGGAACTTACTGTATATGGGATTTCACCACTAAAAATTTGTAAGTCAAAGAATTGCTCTTTTATCAGCCTCATTAGTAATTTTGGAGTTCAGGTTAGGAAACACTTAGTCATGAGGATTTTATCAGCTTGTGATAATGAAATGAAAATTTTGTAGTCAGATCATTTTTTGACTTGGCATTTTCTCTCTTCCCTGGTAGCTCAGCTGGTAAAGAATTCGCCTGCAATGCAGGAGACCCCGGTTTGATTCCTGGGTTGGAAAGATCCCCTGGAAAAGGGATAGGCTACCCACTCCAGTTTTCTTGGGCTTCCATGGTGGCTCAGCTGGTAAAGAATCCGCCTTCAATGCGGGAGACCTGGGTTCGATCCCTGGGTTGGGAAGATCCTCTGGAGAAGGGAATGGCTATCTGCTCCAGTATTCTGGCCTGGAGAATTCCATGGACAGTCCATGGAGTCGCAAAGAGTTGGACATGACTAAGTGACTTTCACTTTATATCTTCAAAACCACATTGAGTGGTTTGAATCAGCATTGCTTAGGTATAGATTCCCATATCTCTCTATTGCTATATACTGAATGTTGCAATGACTTCAAAGTACTGTTGACTTTTGTTTGTCCTTTGCTTGCTCAGAATAACTTAAAACATCACAGTCATCCATCAAATTTGATCATATTCAGACCACATCAATCCTGGGCCTATATGGAAACAAACTATAATCCCAAGGTTTATTAATGGGCTTAGAATAAGAGAACTCATTCTTACAAGTTAATTAACTTAGGTAATATTATCTTAAGATAGATGTGTAGATGTTAAATGAGTCTGAAGTAATGGTTAAAACGAAGCCAGATAGCAATAAGTTTTCACTTTCTAGATGTATCTGTGTGTGTGCTCAGTCATGTTTATTGATTAGGTGAGATTTTAGGATAAAGTAATGGCTTTGATGAACAGATACTCTTAAAGCACCAAAAGAAAAGAAATGGACTAAGCTTTTGAGTGATTAATAGAACTGTTACAGAAAGCATATACTTTTGAACATATATTGATCAAAACATAGTTAAGTGTAGTAGCATTGAGACCCCCCCCAAAATCATTAAGTAGTCACCCAAAAATATGTACAGATCAATTAGGAAAAATAGTGTTACCATAACCAAGAAAAATAAAAGCCGACAACATGATGACTATAATTTGGAAGCATCTTTGAAACAAAACAGAAAATATCTACAGAAGTAATTTGTGATACTTAGGTTAGAGATCTTAAGGAAGATAGTTGATCTAAGGACGATAAGGAGAGTTGAAGTGGTCAGGAAGGTTAGTGAATTTTGTTTATAAGTATAGATGCTTGAATTATATACAGTCATGTAAGGCATGGCTGTGCCCAAAACAAGGTTTGTTACCTAGACCTGAACACACTTGGTATCCACAGAGACAGATTGTTACTGTGTGTCCAGGGTACTGTGTGTGACCACTGGCTACCAACTGAACCACCCAATTATATATTTTTTTGGATAGTGTCACTTTTTTTTTATAGCCAAAAGTGTAGAACTCTTTCCCAATTTTTAAATACTATGTGACTAGAAATTGGAGCTTTATTTCAGGGAACAAGGTTCAGAGCCTTTATAGGGAAGAAAGAATGTATCTTTGTGTATGCATGTACACACATGAGTGTGCATTTGTGCATACAGATTTAGTTTTCCTTTCAGATCTAATATTAATATTGAAAGACAGTTGATTTGATGGCTGGGATCTAAGATGCTACTTTTAGGGTCCTTTACTATATTTAAAGTATTTGGAAAATATGTTGAGAAGATAGGAACACTATAAGTTTTGTCTAATAGACATACAGAATTAGAGAATACATTGTTTTTTTTTTGAAATGTGGACACTTGCAGATATTAAGTATATGTTAGGCCACAAAGAGAGTTGGAAGAAAACTGCCAAGGAGTTGAGGTAATGCAGACCACGTTCTCTATCAGTAGTATGACAAAGTTACCAATCAGTTAAAAAATATTAAAGGAAAAAATCCCAAATCCTTGTTGTTTGGAAACTAAAAACACTACTATATGTTGTGCCAAAAAAATGAATTGTAACAAATCATACAATATTTAAAAAGAATAACCAAATCACTCTGTGTCAAAACTTGCATGATGCTGCAAAAACAGTTTTTGAGAGAAACTAAATATACAGCAGCAATGAAGAAAGAAAGTTGAGAGACTAAATGTTCAACTCAACAATTTCTGTTTTTTCCCTGTCTTTTCACATTATGGGAAAAAAATTATATAGGGTAGAGCAAATATTTAATGACATAGAAAACAAGGAGATACAGAAAGAATCTGTTAAAACAGAAGCTGGGTTTTCTTCACATAGAGCTGATAGTATGGACAGACTTAATTCCCTGGTAGCTCAGTCGGTCAGGAGTCTGCCTGCAGTGCAGGAGACCAAGTTCAACCGCTGGGTTGGGAAGATCCCCCGGAGAAGGAAACGGCAACCCATTCCAGTATTCCTACCTGGAGAATCTCACGGACAGAAGAGCCTGACAGAGCTCCAGAGCCTGGGGGACCGCAGTCCACTGGGTCACAAGAGGCGAACACAACTTAGCGACTAAACCACCGTTACAGGAAGGATCGTAAGAGAGAAGACATAAATAACAATATCCAAAGTTAAAGCGAAGACATTACGGACATAGGAGGTATATAGGTAATCAGAAAGGAATACTCTAGGTTGCTTTTGGCAATACCTTTCTAAACATAGATGAATTGCCAGTCTTGTTTAAAATATAAATAGCAATGTTAAATCAAGAACAGACAACCCAAATAGACTATCAACAGTTCAAGAGAATACTTAGTTATGAAAATGACAGTATCTCCCATGTTAATTAAAGAAGTCAACCTGTTTTTATAAGAATTCCAATAGGATTTTCACT